TAACCCATCAGGGACCCATTTATGGGAGATAAGAGGGAAGAGCCCTCCTTTCTTCAAGGACTCAATACCTTCACCAACCAGCCAATCAACTAACCCATCAGGGACCTATTTAGAGGATATGAGTGGAAGAGCCCTCCTTCCTTCAGGCATTAAATCCTTCACCAACCAGCCAACCAACTAACCCATCAGGGACCCATTCAGGCGAGATGAGAGGGAAGAGCCCTCCTTCATTCAGGGATTCAATCCCCTCACCAACCAGCCAACCAACTAACCCATCAGGGACCTATTTAAAGGATATGAATGGAAGAGCCCTCCTTCCTTCAGGCTTTAAATCCTTCACCAACCAGCCAACCAACTATCCCATCAGGGACCCATTCAGGCGAGATGAGAGGGAAGAGCCCTCCTTCATTCAGGGATTCAATCCCCTCACCAACCAGCCAACCAGCTAACACATCCGGGACCCATTTAGGGGAGATGAGAGGGAAGAAGCCTCCCTCCTTAAAGGATTCAATACACTCACCAACCAGCAAACCAATTAACCCATCAGGGACACATTTAGAAGTGATGAAAGGGAAGAGCCCTCCTTCCTCCAGGAGTTCAATCCCCTCATCAACCAGCCAACCAACTAAACCATCAAGGACCTATTTAGAAGAGATGAGAGGGCAGAGCCCTCCTTCCTTTAGGTATTCATTCCCCTCACCAACCAGCCAACCAACTAACCCATCAGGGACCCATTAAGGTGAGATGAAAGGGAAGAGCCATCCTTACGTCAGGGATTCAATCCCCTCAACAACCGGCCAACTAACTAACCTATCAGGGACCCATTTAGAGGAGATGAGAGGGAAGAGCCCTCCTTCCTTCAGTAATTCAATCCCCTCACCAACCAGCCAACCGACTAACCCATCAGGGAACCAATTAGGGGAAATAAGAGGTAAGAGCCCTCATTCGTTCAGCGAATCAGTCTTCTCACCAGCCAGCCAGACAACTAACGCATCAGGGACCTATTTAGGGGAGATGAGAAGGAAGAGCCCTCCTTCCTTCAGGAATTCAACCACTCACCAACCAGCCAACCAACTAACCTATCAGGGACCCCTTTAGAAGATATGAATGGGAAGAGCCCTTCTTCTTTCAGGGGTTAAATACTTCACCAAACAGACAACCAGTCAATCCATCAGGGACCCCATTAGGGGATCTGAGAGTGAACAGCCCTCCTTCCTTCCGCGAATCAGTCTTCTCACCAGCCAGCCAGCCAAATAACGCATCAGGGACCCATTTAGAGGAGATGAGAGGGAAGAGCCCTCCTTTCTTCAGTAATTCATTCCCCTCACCAACCAGCCAACCGACTAACCTATCAGTGACCCAATTAGGGGAAATAAGAGGTAGAGCCCTCATTCGTTCAGCGAATCAGTCTTCTCACCAGCCAGCCAGACAACTAACGCATCAGGGACCTATTTAGGGGAGATGAGAAGGAAGAGCCCTCCTTCCTTCAGGAATTCAACCACTCACCAACCAGCCAACCAACAAACCTATCAGGGACCCCTTCAGAAGATATGAATGGGAAGAGCCCTTCTTCTTTCAGGGGTTAAATACTTCACCAAACAGACAACCAATCAATCCATCAGGGACCCAATTAGGGAATCTGAGAGTGAAGAGCCCTCCTTCCTTCAGCGAATCAGTCTTCTCACCAGCCAGCCAGACAACTAACGCATCAGGGACCTATTTAGGGGAGATGAGAGGGACAAGCCCTCCTTCCTTCAGAGATTCAACCCCCCACCAACATGCCAAACAACTATCCCACCAGGGACCCATTTATCAGAGATGACAGGGAAGAGCCCTCCTTCCTTCAGAGTTTCAATACCCTCACCAACCAGCCAACCAACTAACCCATCAGTGACCCATTTAGGGGAGATGAGAGGGACGAGCCCTCCTTCCTTCAGGGATTCAATCCCCTCACCAACCAGCCAACCGACTAACCCATCAGTGACCCAATTAGGGGAAATAAGAGGTAAGAGCCCTCATTCGTTCAGCGAATCAGTCTTCTCACCAGCCAGCCAGACAACTAACGCATCAGGGACCTATTTAGGGGAGATGAGAAGGAAGAGCCCTCCTTCCTTCAGGAATTCAACCACTCACCAACCAGCCAACCAACTAACCTATCAGGGACCCCTTCAGAAGATATGAATGGGAAGAGCCCTTCTTCTTTCAGGGGTTAAATACTTCACCAAACAGACAACCAATCAATCCATCAGGGACCCAATTAGGGGATCTGAGAGTGAAGAGCCCTCCTTCCTTCAGCGAATCAGTCTTCTCACCAGCCAGCCAGACAACTAACGCATCAGGGACCTATTTAGGGGAGATGAGAGGGACAAGCCCTCCTTCCTTCAGAGATTCAACCCCTCACCAACATGCCAAACAACTATCCCACCAGGGACCCATTTATCAGAGATGACAGGGAAGAGCCCTCCTTCCTTCAGAGTTTCAATACCCTCACCAACCAGCCAACCAACTAACCCATCAGTGACCCATTTAGGGGAGATGAGAGGGACGAGCCCTCCTTCCTTCAGGGATTCAATCCCCTCACCAACCAGCCAACCAACTAACCCATCACGGACCCATTTAGGGGAGATAAGAGGTAAGAGCCCTCCTTCCTTCAAGGACTCAATCCCCTCACCAACCAGCCAATCAACTAACCCATCAGGGACCCATTTAGGGGAGATGGGAGGAAAGAATGCCCTCTAACGAATGCCCTCTAACGTCGATTAAAAGCTTTTTAAACAAAAAAATCTTATAAATTTGTTTTAAAATGAGAAAAAAAATTTTCCTAATTTTATCCCATCATAAGTTGTGTTAGATATGACACGGAATGTTTTGCGACTAATATCGTATTAATTATTGTTGAATGTGGATAATGTCATAGCCTCAATTCAAAAAGGAATGATTTAATTGCCGCTTGCGCTTTATAATAAAAAGACTGTTCGTATGTTTGGGCAAAGCCCTGAATGTTCCAACTGCTCCTAATTGTTCTCGAACTATTTTTTAATGACAATTTTAAAAAACAATTAACTTTGGTCAACATCAGGCAAAAAATGAAAAAAAAAATAAGCTGGTTACACTTGCCCAATTTAAATTTGGAAACTGTAGTGCGTATAGTTTGCCATGCATGAAAAAATTCGCGTTACGTTTTCAGCGTTACCAAAAAAATTTCGCAGCTCGCATACATTAGTTCAAAGCATGGCCGAAAATCATTTTTCAAACCCCCCAAATTACATTAAAATATTCAAAGCTAAAATATCTTTTTAGTTTGAACTCAAGAGCGCCGATTTTTTCAATGGGGTATATGTTTTCTTGGTAAAATAAACTTTTTCAATCTTCCAAATTTGACTGAAACAAAGATTCACTCAAAAAATTAAATATTCCGCATTTCTTTGAAAGCGGAACAACAAGACTGCTCTTAAATGAAGACATAGCCCTGAAGGTTCCGATTGCCCCTTAGCTTCTTTTGGACAGTTTTTGATAAATCTTAAAGTTTAGACTGTCAATAAATCAAATATGCTGCAACTTGCTAAATTTTGAGTCTCATACAGAAACAAAATGAAAATTTAGTTGGCCTCAGTTCAATTTGAAACAAATATGAGTGCGGAATAATTCGCCACGCATAAATAATTTGCAGAATGAAAAAAAAAATAGTTTCAAGCTAACAATCTGTTAGCATGCTGGTAACGCAAGCTCACCTGCTTTCAAGATTCCATGATTCTACGCCAACAAGATTTTTTTGTGAAATTAGTCCGAACAAAAAAAACACAAAGCATGCACATTCCTCGCTCTGGTCGTAAGTCGAGACTACTATCAATTTCAAATAAAATGCAATCCCAGAGTTTACTCAAAAGTGCTTGAGAAAAATTCTAAACTTGTCTGGCGGAAAAAAAACTACCCCAACCACAATAACTCCGTCACTTTCTTTGAAAATCATTGAACTATTACTTTTTGCTCTTGCTTTATGAGCCTTTTTTCAAGAGTGACTGAGACCAACATAGCCAGTCTGCCAGCGTTTTACAATGCTAAGGAACTATCAGCACCAATGATATGAAAGTAAAAGGTGATTATTTCGAATAAATCAACAAGTAGTTGCCACAAAGTTGTGCCTGAACAGAAATCTTCTGCTATTTCACTTATTTCCTTCCAAAAAAAGCACTACCACTGCAGTAATCTTCACAAAAAAATAAGAAAAATTATGAATCGAGTTTTTGCAATTAAAAAAAAATAGAACAAGGATAGCGGGTTACTGTGCAAAAAGCACAGAATGGAATGTCCGACCACAGTCTTGTAAAATGCAACAAAAAGTTTGTTTAAAATTATAATAGATTTCTTTTCAGCGTGGTGTGATAAAAAGATCTGTACGAAAATCTAGAACACGGGCATTATCGACAATCATAAAAAATTCAGCAAAGTCAAACCTTTTTTGTAGAAAAATGACTAGAAATACAAAAAATCAAACAAATTTTCAAAAAAAAAATTTTGCATTTTTTGCAGTTTCTGAACTTTTGACGTTTTTAGTTCCAAAAAGCGCTAAAATACTCAATAAAAAACTACTTTTGGTCGATTAAAACTAAATTCTTACCCCTTAAATTAAACAATTGTAAGCTTTCAATCTATTAAAACAAACTATTTCAAGCCTGCTCGCTCACTCGAAATCAGACGAATAATCAAAATTTTGAGACCGGTTTTTCTCGACATCGAAAAAGTTTTTTTTTGAAAAAATTTTTTTCTGTCGTTCGAATCAAACTGAGAGGTTTTTGAAATAATTTATCACTCAATTCTCTCCGATGAGATGATTATTTGTGGTAGCTGGTTTCTGTGGAAAACAAAAAAAAATGAAAAAACACCCAAATACAAAGCTCCTCTCCATTTTTCAAATGGTTAGAACAATTATCTCAAATATTTCCCATTTTCAGATATTTCCCATCTGTCTCGCAAAAAAAATTAAAAATTTTGACAGAAACCTTAGCCCGTTCTCTCAAGCACCGCAGCTCTTTCAATTTTTCCCGGAACACTTTCTTGATCTCCACATTTCCGAATAGCCCCAAATTGGGGAACACTTGGCCGATCCGCTTGAAAAACTCTGTCTCGCTCTCTAAGTTGTTCTTCAAATCCACAATTTGGTGCTCCAGACTTTGTTCGTAAGAAGTAGGCAAAGCTACCAAAACTGCTTTATCGCTCAAGTTAGCTCGTTTGCCGCAGAAACTCGACTCTCGGCTGTCTTTCAATCTTTTCTCCATAAAGTGCTCCAGGTCTTTCTTTTGTCGTCCAACTCTTTCCCTTTCAAACTGCAATTTCTCAATTTGCTCTGTTTTCTCCTGTAGTTCGCTGTCCACTTTTTCCAAGTTCCTGGCCAACTTTGCGTTTTCGCGGATGAGTTTAGCTTGGCTGTCATTCATCTGCTTGATTTGTTTCTTCATCCGAAGCTTTTCAATCGCAGCCTTTCTTTCCATAGACTCGATTGTTTCCATCGCCTCGTTCAGCTGTTGCGAGTCAGAGGCAGCCTCGCCCTCGTGTGTTGGCCTATGAAACACAATCAACACATGAGTCGAAAAGTGAGCTTTACTTTCCACAGGTGAATGTCCTTTTTGATTCATGGATCTAAGAGATGCTCAGTAACTTTCGAAAATGACTGTGCTATGGGTGACGATATTGGTCTCTTAAAAGTTCATTGTCCCTGTATTTTTAAGTCTAACCTTACTGTCAGCTAATATCTCACATGGCATATTGCATGCTTGAAGTTAGAAACTAACTTTCGGCAGATATCTATACGATGAAAAACGTTTATCAATGAAAAATTAACAGCGCTTCAACGTGCCAATTGACACAGATGCTAATGTATACGTACCCCTTTGTTCCTCTGCTCGTCCTCTCACTTTCCAACTTGTGATAGTCACCTTTGACCTTCTCGTAGACTTGCCCCAACACAGTTGAGTCTTCCTCCAGCTTCTTGATTTTAGACTTGGACACTTTCAGCTCCTCTTGGTAACTGTGCTGCAAAATGTACAAGGACTGTTCCGACGCCACTAAATTAGCAGCCAGTTGCTTGTGAGCTATGTCGTTGCAAGTGGAGTTGTTTTTACTAATCCCAGTCAAACACTGGTCAGCTGAACTGTTATGATGTGGTCCGAAATCAGCCAGACCAGATCTCTGGCCAGCCAGCACTCTACGATTCGCCTCACTTTGCAGATGCTTCAGGTTTTGCTCACTTGAACTAGACTCTTCCTTCAAATGTTTCAAGGACTTCCATGTTGCTTCCAGTTCCCCCTTTAGTCGTTTCACGTGTCGTTCATGCGCTGAATTTTTTTCTTTTTCAGACTCCAACTTTTTGGTCAACTGAGCATTTGTATTTTTAGTTTCGCTCAATTTTAAAGTCAGTCTTTCGATTTCCGCGTTTGTGTTTATGTCAGTTGTGTGTTTGTCAGACCCTGTAGCAGAATTAGCTTGGGCAGAATCATTGCTGGAAATTGTTGGGCGTTTCTCGTACATGTGAAACTGGTCGCCCCGCAATCTGCCAACTGCCGTTCGGCTATGTGACTGCATGCTCCTAAGTGCACGTTGACTCTGTTCCAACTTTTCCTGCAGTTCTGCTATTTCAGACAACTGTTCGGTTCTGGCCACTGACAACACCTCCACTTTCTTCAGCAGACAGTCTCTGCAGTTGCGAAGTTGAGCCACTTCTTCGAGTAGGTTCCAATCGCCAGTCGGGTTTGAACTGGCAACATCCTCACCAGAGCAACCTTGTGTCTCCTCAGCGAGGCAGGTTTGAGTCGCGCAACTTTCTCTTTTCACGCTCAGTTTCCTCTTCAGGAAGTCTATTTGGCAGTCCATGTCTTTATTGTTGGCTGTCAGTTTCTTCACTTCACCTCTGAGTCGCAGAACTTCTTCTTCGCGCGGGGATATTCGAATTGGTCGCTTCTAAAAAAGTTTAAACAAAATCATATCTGTTAATCATATCTGTCAAAGTTTCATGGATTAAAAATGAATACAATGGATTTTGTTGACCGCAAAACTCGAGCGAACACGGGTATCCCCATGATCACTGAGCACTACCCCCCATGTCCCACGCTACGTTACCTCATGTCCCGCCGACACCCCCCACCCCCCACAACGCCCCTATAACACACTACCTGCTACGCTCCAGAACCCTTCGCTACGCACCCACACCAAGTCCTCCCAATACGCCCTCTCCTCACTAGAACCCCCACGTCCCAAGCTCACATTTACCCCCTTCTTCTCCTACATCGCGGTTTCACCACCCCCCGCGTGTTTGTCCCACCATCACCAAAACCAAACACCCCACCCCCACCACCCACTGGAATAGGGAAGGATGGGGGCAGGTGTAAACGTGGGGTAAGGGGCTGGTGTGGGTCATATCGTGAAGTTAGCAAATAAAACTGAATAAAAAATTATGCATCATAAAAAGTTTAAAAATTATTATGAACAAATGAAAGTTTTTCATGATGCAAATTTTTTCGAAACAAGTTGAAAGTAATCGATTAGAATACATTCAGAGTGGATTTCTTTCTTCCAAAAACTATTAACAAAAAATCTATTTCCATTCAACCGTAATCGATTGTGTTTTCGAATTTTAGCGAGGTGAAATAAAAAAAAACAATATAATCCAACTACTATCCATGAAAGTTCAATGCTGGTGACATCTCATTTGAAATGACGACCCCGGGAGCACGGAAATACCCATCCTCCTTTGAATTTTTTTTACATGCGTTATTGATCAATCCTATTTTTGTTCTTAGAGAGCTTTCGGTGGCATTATTTAAAAAAATCGCAACTTTTTGGTCAGAATCTAATCGACGTACAACGTCATTTTTGGCCAACTTTTGGCCAAAGATCGGCCTAAAATGACATAAAGTAAATTTTGGCACAGAACGAGTTTTAGAGCGTTTGCAAAAACTCGGAAAAGCAAATTGACTGACCTGTAAGAATAGAAAAAAAATTGTCAAAAAGTGCAAAAAAAGTCACCAACATCGATGTACCACACTTGAATAGATTATCACAAAATTCTACGAATGCAGTCCTTTGTAAGCCGTGCTAGACTTGAATTATGCAAAAACACTGATTTCAAAATAATTTCTTCGAAACTGGACGAGTCTGATATTTTATGATCTGATTAAAAGTTTGTTCTGTCGTATGACAAAGCTCGCATAAATGCGTAATGGAATTTTTTAAGAACATGCAAGATAATTCTAGAGTCAAAATCACCGCACACTGATTTCAAATTGTTGTCGTTTGCCATGTTCAGTTGCTGACCTTTTGATCTTTACTGGCATTACATGATATTAATTAATGAAATATAGCATTCCTGATTGGATTTTACCGTAGCAGTACCACATTCCCCTTCCAGTGGGAAAAATTATCATTTTCATCAATTTACTATTCAAATGACTTAGAATATGAGTATCAGGTTTCATGACAATTGTGTCTTTGCGTTGTGTTTCATTATCAAAATTTTCTCAATTATGACTCCATTAACAGGTTGAAAAATAATATTTAATGCGTAGAAAAGAGTCTTTTACCATTAGCACCATCTCTATATGGCGTCTCGAAATAATTGAGGCAGTTGTATTAAATATCTTTTTAATTGCGATATAGATATATGCACCAATCTTTGGTAATCTCTATCATAAATTAATTTTCTATCCTCTATGGGATATTCTAATATGGGATACTTTCGTATGGGATACTTTGTCATGTCACCGAGTATTAATATCTGTTTTGCCCTGCCAGGTTGACGTAAAATTGTGAGTGGGCTCTGGCTTTCATTTTTGATTAAAATTCCTTTTTTCCCTTTTTTAGGATAATAATTTTAGGTTAATAAACTTAAACCCAATTTGTACACTTTTTGTTCGGTCGTGTTTATTCGATTCTGTTCTGCTCTATATAAGCTTCCAATGACACCCTCTTAAACTTCATTGACATCTTTTCATCTTCTTTCATTTGATCTTCGACCGTATTTACAGAGCGTTCAACTAGTCCCATATATTGCCCGTTGTTTAGATTTATTGGACCTTATATTTCGCTTCAAATTTTCTACAGCTTCCATCTTTTTGAACGATTCTCATGCTTGTTTGTGGAACCTGATCTAAACTACATTTTATGATTGGATAAATTAGATATTTTAACAATGTAAAGTATTTAATATTAACCAATCATGATCCATCTAACTAACAACCCACTTATTTGTAAGTGCTGAAGTTACTTGTAATTTCAGCACCAGAGAGATTTGAATTTAACTTAGAAATTAGTTGGACTCTCCCGAGCACTTCAGCAGCCGCAATAAACCAGTATACCCTAGATCTATTGAGCCTAGCAGAGACTAGTTAAACAACCTGAGACTAGATAGTATAAGAGTAAGATTAGGATCGGTATTAGACTAAGAAGTTGCACGAATCTATCCGGCCGAAAATAAGATAGCGTGACGAGCAGACGGTGTACCCTATCCGAAATTACTCTATGAGTTATACACTCCAGTCCTAACTCATCTGGTGCGACCATAAGTCTCGAACAAGACCTTAATAGCTTAGAATTAACCAAAATAGATTAGAAATTAGACAAAAACATTTACAAAATGTTATACGACAATAATTTAATCGAAATGTCTCTACGACTCAATAGATCAGAGCCAATATTCCGAACCATAACAGAACTACCCGGAATTGGAAGAAGACCTCGAACCAGAGACGACATACGACAAAGTAGAAACTTGCCATATAGCTATATGATAGTTAGGCAAAAACCAGAACAAACTTTTATATTTAGAATACTACTGGCAATGAATTTAGATTTTCATTTGCAAACATAAAACCTTGAAGTTAATCTTCAAAATCATTTCAGGCGCTAAACAAAATTATTAATATACAATAACGATTGATAAAAAGATCTAAGATCGTTTTCCTAAAACTCTGCAGTAATATACAAAACATGTTTGAAAAATATTTATTGAAAAATAAAAAATAAAAATTAGTAGCATGACAATAAATGGTTAGTAATCATAAATCATCCTGTTGTTCCAGCTCCATCACCTAAAACATAACAGCAATCATAAACCCACTAATATCATCAAAACACTAAATCTTTCCTTTACACACATTTAAAATTTTATTAAAACTTAAATTCACTTAATTTTAAAACCAGATCATCAAGGCTTATCCTTGGATCTTAAATCATTTTCTACTTAATTAATTTCAAATTTGATCATCAAGGCTTATCCTTGGATCAAACAGAACAACTTTGTTCTCCCCCACCCACTTAATTAGTGTCTAACGACCTCAAACGTCGATTCACTACCCAGCCCTTTCTAAAGACCTAAGACTAATAGAAATTTTTAAACAAAACTAATCATTCAAATTAGGATAAACAGTGAAGAACTTCGGTTATTCATCCTTCACTTGACCCCCCCTCTTACCAGACCCAGGATAAATCTTAGACTTAGTAAGTTTAAAATAGTATCTAACGAACTACTCGCGTTCTAATTATACCTGAACCTTGTGGATCGATTTACTATTCTCCAACCCTTGAACACAATCACTACCCCTAAGTAAGATTAAGTAAGTTAACACCTTAACTTATACTAGCCACGAGAAAGTAAAAAATCATTCTTCGGAATCGATATACTTTTCTCTCCAACCCTGAACAAATAGACCCAGGTTAAGCTAACCAAAAAATCGTAAGAACTAACAGTTTAGGAAAATAGAAATCATTTAACAACCTTTTGCATCCGTCATCCTAAACCTTATGTCATTTAAAAACCTAGGAAATAAACAAACAATCGTTTTACACAATTGTGAAATAGATAACAAAAAATACGACCTTGTAATCACACCTCATACGCAAACAGTTGGATACATTCGAACAAAACGACAAACACTAAAAAGAAAAATAATAACGAAACAAAGACAAATAACACGAAAAAGATTTTCAAAAAATCGAAACGCATTTTCAGAATCAGAAACCAACAGTTTAGACGAACTTTATAAACTAAAAGAATCAATAGATAAAAATTGCCCAATTCACGATCAATTATATTTCTCTGACTCAGAAACAACTTCAAATTCATCAAAAAGAGGAAAAAGAAGAATAAAAAAGCAGTATAAACACAAACCAGTACATTTATACAATTGGAATCAACCAATTCGACACATTAATAATTACATATTAACAGTCATCGAACGAAAAAATGAGCTCAACGCACACCCCAGGTGAAGAAAGCCCAGATGATGATGAAATCTTTCCTTTTATAATAGATGCAACCACTGATAGAGGACAGCATATATTTTGCAAAAATTTACTATTAAATTTATTTGAACCCGGAATCAGTCCATGTAAAACAGAGTTCCCAGATGTAAAAATCAAAAGACAAATCATAGACCACTACTTAAAAGATATATGCAACATAACACAACAGTATGGAATCTACTCCATAGAATTCACCTCACCAAACCATAATAATAGAAAATATACAATTCAAACAGACGATCTTGATTTAGAATTTTCAAAAGTTTTTTCAGAATATATAAAAAGCATCCAATACCATAACTCACAAAGAGCAAACTCCATATTCACCAATGAAGTTTTCGCAATAATATATAGTTATATTTCGATATTAGAAAACGAAATCCCAATAACAAATGTCTCACCAAAAGAAACATCTAAACATTTGAAAGTACGACATGAAATTACACTACTCTCTAGTTATTTAAACATCATTAAAGAAAATTTCACGAAAGATGACGTTTCACAACATACCAAACACGATCTACAAAAAATTTTAGCATGGTTCATAATAGATTATTTCACACACAATATTGATTTAATTGCACAAGCAAGAAAAAATTTTCGACCCCAAAATTCGAACGATGATACCGCTATCACAGAACAATCAGATTATGTTTGGGACC